CAAACAAAAGAAGTGGAGCAAGAAGAATTCCCATGTGCCAACATGCAACAGCATTATTTTCACACTCCCAAAAGTTTTTAACACTACCCTGCATTTTAGTTTTTATCTTCAGTGCAATGCAACAAGATTCCTACATCTTGTTATCCTTTCTAAAATGTATCATCATAAAAACACACCCAGATTGATCCGACTGCCAAGCCAATTAACCATAAGGTGATTATCAATTATCATGCAAAATGGGATAAGAACTTATATCACAACTCATGCCAGATTCTTAACAATATATATACATGAGTGAATACCAATCATTTCAGCTTAAATTTAGTCAACAATGTCACAATGTTTAAAATAAATATCAAAATTGACACAATTTCCCTCCTGCCCGCAAAACCATTCCGTAATACAAACATAAATACAAGTACATGAAATTCCTCCAATAAAAACAAACCCATCAACACGAAACACAACAATAAGCTGAATGCAAAAGACAGAAAGAAATGAATACTTTTCGAAAAAATCATAATACCCATTAAGAGAAACCACCCAAACAGCTGAAAAAATCAATCAAACAACAATTTATCGAATCAAACACACACCCAGGAGCTGAAATCCAAAACATAACACCTCATTTCCATGAAATTACAAACCAGAAGATTGAACAGAACGCAAAACTCAATCGATACAAAGTTTCAAGATTTCGAAATGATCTACGATCAAGGTACCTGGTGAAATCGGTGATTTTCGAACAGAGACGGAGGCTGTGGATTTTTGAAACGATGGGGGGGTTTGTTTGTTGCTGTAAAGTTTGTTGCTTTGAAGTTGATATATAAATACAATGCAAAATGGGAGCTGGAAATGGAATCAGAAAGAGAGCGGTGTCGGGGTAGACTCGTAATTTTGCTGAGTCAATCTTTGTCTTAGTTTGGGTAAATCAGGGAAGCAATAATTCAGCAATCCCCCATAACCGTTGGATCTGCTGAATGAAAATTATGAAATAACCCAAAAATACTTGTAGTTATTTTCCTATCATGATTTCCCTTAAAAAATACTTTAAAATAAAAAAAAATTACATAAAGAATTTTTTTTAATACGTGCCTCAAAATATACTTGTATTTATTTTTCCCATCATAATTCCTCTTTAAAATACTTCAAAATAAAATAAAATAAATAATTTTTCTAACTTATATATTTAGAGTACATGTTAAGAATGCATTAATTATATTTTTTTCACAACAAATTTTTATAGAAAAATGTAAAAACAAACATTACTTGTACCATAGGTAACACATGTATTATTTTAAATAAGTAATTAATAAATTGAAAGTTAATTTTTATTTTTTTAATATAAATTAATTGTAAAAAAAGTGTAATTGATATACCTTTAACACAAATTAAAAAATCCTTAAAAAAACAATATTATTAATTATCTTTTAAATTAGTCTCATAACTTTTCAATTTAGAATCTCAATTTTTTATCTGTTAAAAAACCTCTCAAGGCAACATATATCTTTTGAGGAAGTAAAGGAATGAGGATATCTTCTTGGAATGACTTGCTTGAGGGGAAGGGAAGGTAGGCTTTTGTTGGAAGAGGAGTTTTAAGAATGTTTAGACCTTACCATCAAAAAAAGAATGTTTAGACAAAAAAGTATATACATTGTTATATATAAGCAAAAGGTATCATGTTTGGAATGTAATTTTTGTCCCATAAAAATTTATCAATTTAATTGGAATTTAGAAGATTTTTGAGTAATTTATATAAAAAAAGATGGAGGTAGGTGTGGTGTAGACTTAGTTTTATAAACACTTTAATATTCAATTTTAATGGTTCATTTTCATTAAGGATGGATTAGGTATCGTTGACCCTATGAAAGTAGCATAAAAAATCATATGATTAGTTTCACTATTTAATTACTATTATGCTGCTTAAATAGTTGACATATTGTTTTTTTTTTTTATTAACCTTCCAGTATCCAATTACCTATTGGGTCTCGATTAATTTAAAATCGAGTCACGTTGAACTTTATTAAGGGAAAAACTTTCCTTATACATGTTTCTCTATTCACAAGACTCAAACTTAATATCTTACTTAAAGAGAACCGAATTTTTTTCGTTCAAACTAACAGATCGTTGTTGACATATTGCTTTTTTTTTTTTTTATTAACCTTTCAGTATCCAATTATCTATTGGGTCTCGATTAATCTAAAATCGAAGTCACGTTGAACTTTATTAGGGGGAAAACTTTCCTTATGCATGTTTCTTTATTCACAAGACTCAAACTTAATATCTTACTTAAAGAGAATCAAATTTTTTTCGTTCAGACTACTAGATCGTTGTTGACATATTACTTGTTTAATACAAATAGTTTTAACCTTTTTTGAGTGCTAAGAAATTTAGATAGCGGGGGAATTTAATAAAGCAAATGTCATAAAATCATCTAAAAGGCAACTGATTTTGAGTACTAATTAGTTTTTTATTTTGTAGTTAAATTATAAAATATGAATTATTAGATTGAAGAGTAACTTTTTTTTATTATGGATTTTATTTTTTATTTAATAATTTAAATTATACAATAGGAGTAATCCAAAATATATAAACATTTATTTTCTTTGTCCAGCGCACACTTTCCATTACTACTAAGGTTAAAAGTACAAGTGAATTACCTAATCACATTCTTTATGCCTGTCAAGTTTCGAATTCTAAGGAAGTGATAAAAACGTTATTTATAAGTTACATAAAAATTTATAGATGAGGGGCATATTCATAATTTACCCAGAAAATATCTCCACACTCTTTAATTCTTTTTGAACGGTCAAGATCTACTGAAAATTAAATATCTCAGTGCACCCCCTTACACAGAAAAACTCCTCCATCATACTGGAAAGAGTTGCCCGAA